GGGGCCGGCAGGCAAGGCCCCCGGGAGTCCCCCAGCCACAGCTGAGGCCCAAGGGTGAACGTCAGCTCACCACCCGCCCCTGGAGGGCAGTGACAACTGTCGGGGCTGGTCAGATGGGAGGTGGCCGCGGGGACCCCTCAGAGACAAGCCGAGTCGGGTGGGTGGCTGCCTTCACATCCCACGGCGAAGGAAGACCTTTCGGGCAAGAGGGGCCCCGTGCCGGACGTCCTGGCGCGTGAAGCGCCATCAGCGACCTGAGGCCCAAGTGCGCGGTGCACGCGGTCACGCTGCCCCCGGGGTCTTGGCCGAGAACGACACCGTGTGGCCTCAGCACCACCAACAGCCAGGAGGTGGAAACAGCCCAGTGCCACCGACGGACGGGAGGACAAACAAAACGGGGTGTCTCCGCGCAGTGGAATGTTATTTGGCCGGAAAAAGGAGCGGGGCGCTAATGGACGCAACACAGATGCCCCTCGCTAAGGCCGTGCTCGCGGGAGCAGCAGGCTCGAAAGGCCACTGACACGAACTCTCCAGAATAGGAACATTCTGGCACAGAGAGCAGACGATTGCTGCCAGGGGCTGCGGGGAGCAGGGAACGGAGGATGTTTAGAAACGTGGGGCCCCTGGGGCGCCTGGGGGCTCGGTCAGTTAAGCGTCCGACTCTTGGCCTTGGCTCAGGTCACGATCTCGCGGTTCGCGAGTTTGAGCCCCACGTCGGGAGCTTTGCACGGATGGGATGAGCCTGCGTGGGATGCTGCGTCTCCCTCTCTCCACACAAATAAATAAGCGTTAAGAAATTATTTTTAAATGTGGGGCTTCCGCTGGGGAGGCTCTGGAACTAGAGGGGAGGACAAGGAGCCCCCCCCCCCCCCGAACCGCACGCTTTAAACGGGGGCGCTGCACGGGAATCACGCCGTGGCAAAGCTGTTAAATGAGAAGAGCAGCCCTGAACCCACGGGAAGGGGGGGCCCTCTGCCGGCCCCTCCTGGCTGGGTGACCTGGACAGGCGGTTCTATGTGTTCGTGACTCTGCAGGCCTGTTGGCCAGATGAGGTGTCACGGATGTCAACTGAGGCACAGCCGGGGACACAGAGGCCTCGCGTTGCTGACGCCACACGGCGACCCAAATGCGGACGTCTGGGCGCCCCCAAGGCCGGTGTTCCAGGAGGCGCACAACCCGTAACGACCCCGAATGCGGATACTTTACCTGCCCGTCGCCGTTAACCTTCACGACAATCCACGCTGCACAGATGGGGAAACCGAGTCAAGGGGAGGCAGAGCCCTGGAAAGCCCGTGCTCCACACGCCCGGGTGACCCCGGCCCTTCTGGCCACCGCGGAAAGCACCCCCGGCCCCCTGGAGGGCACAGACCACCCACCTGCAGATACTCCGTGAAGAAGGACCCCAGCTCTGTCTTCAGCAGCTGCCTGCGGGCAGGAGGGGACATGACAGTGAGCGGCAGCAGGACTCAGAGGCCACGCGGCGGGGACAAGGGGGCCGGCTGGGCAGCGGGAGGCCGCCCTGTCCCACCTGCCCCAGCCCTGTGGGGGCTCGGTGGGCCTCAGGCCTCCACGGCGTTCAGCTGTGGCTCTTTACACACCCGCCGCCACCTGCCACGCCTCCCCGGAGGGCGAGCACCTCTCACGTTCTCAGGGAGACCCCGCCCCCAGCCGTGCTGGGCCTCCACCACTCGGCTCACCCCTTCTTCCGCCTGCCCGGCCCCGGAGCTCGCCGCCCCGCACCCTCTGGACTCTCTCCTCCCGCTGTAGGTGCTAACTATGGTTCCCTTTTACAAGTGAGGCAAAGGAGGCTCAGAGAGGTCAAGGGACTTGTCCGAGGCCACACAGGACACACCGACTTAGGATCCAAACCTCGTCCTTTGTACATACGTTGACAATTCACTGAGCCGCTCTGGGGGCAGAGAGAACGGCGGGCGTCCCGTTCCACACCACGCACAGCCTGGAACATGTCAACCGTAGGCCCAACGCTCAACCTCACCTCTCCTCTCGGCCTTGTAGCTGTGTGTGCGCATGTGCGGGCACGCCTGGGGGGCACTGAACTCGCCTCCCTCCCCCCCACTAAGTAGGTGCTCTGGTCCTCAAAGGCCTTTTAGGGGTGGCTACATTCTACCTTCCCAGTGGAACTGAAAGCGGGACCCCGGCTCAGGGCTGGCTGCCCCCCAGTGGGGGTGGGGCCTGGGAGCTAAGTGACTCACAGAGGACAGGTGGCTTGTGGGAGGTAGCTAGCATCCCAGCAGCTGACCGGCTGTCCTCCCTGGTGCCTGGGGCTCGGGCGGAATCCAGAGGAGCAGAGATGGGGCCGGGGACACAGGGAGGGACACGTTTCCTGACAGCTCCCGGGAGCCACAGCCAGGCCAGGCACAGACCTAAGCTCTCAACAGCCTGAGAGGTGGGGCTGGCGTCCCTGGACGGGATGGACGAGGAACCTACCTTTCAGAGCAAAGGCAGCCCCAGGGCCCTGTCCCACGCCCCTGGCGGGCAGCTTCTCTTAGTACGGGACCCACACTACGTCACAGCCCGATGCCGTCCCCGCGTAGCTGTGAAGTTAGCAGCGGAAGCGCTCAGCAGGCTGAGCTCTGCCGGGACAGCGAGGGGACGGGGTGCTGACCCGTGTGAAGCCAGGTGACCCTCTGCCGCCAGCCCCCAGCCCCAGCCCCTCCACCTCCTCCCAGCTGTCTGGGTTTCCAAGGACCAGATGTGACCTCAGCTCCTGGTGTGAACCCCCCCACGTCCAGCCTCGGTGTCTGTCTCAAGGTCACCACACGCAAGACACGAGGGGCCGCTCTGGGCAGGGCCAGGGAGCAAAGGGTGAGGAGGGAGGGACTTGTTTTGGGCCCAGGGCTGAGTCTTCTCAGATAGCCCCTCCCCCGACTGAGCTCCAGGACCCTCATCTGGGGCCTGGGACACGCCAGAAGGTAGAGCAGGAGGGCCCAGGCTGTCAAGTGAGGGCACGGCTCACCCTTGATGTATACAGCAGGTGCTCAGTAAAGCCCTCCTCGCCCTCTCCCTGGCCCATCGCTGGTGGAAGTGTGTATGAACATGAATGAATGAATGAATGAATGAATGAATGAATGAACGAATGGTCTCCTTCAGGGCGGAGCAGACCCTCTGCCCCGCTGCTGACCCGCTACATGAGCCCAAGGGTACGTCCGGCCAAGCGTCCCCCAATTTGTGCCCACCGCCTCTCCCAGTTGCTGACAAAGGGAACCATGGCCATTCCACAGATGCGGAAACTGAGGCCCGGGGGAGGGCAAGTGGTGAGGTCCCGTGGGGCCTGCTGGTTAGGCTGCTCCTGTACCCCCAGGGGAGCCTCCGGGCGCCTTCTGCACCCTGGGACACCACTTGGGGAAGGCGCCGCAGGGGGACCAGCCTGGGTGTCGTCTGAGGGGCCGCGGCCACGGCCACCCTGTCCAGACAGGTCTGCTGGCTCCTGGGAGCCGCAGGGCCAGTGGGACCTCGTGCAGGAGCTGGGGCTGGGCCAGATGGTCTGCGTGTCTGCCGGGAGCCTGGGAGGGAGGGCCTCTCGGGACCAGAGCAGGTGGCCGAGCTCCCTCCCACAAGCGCCCACAGGCTCCCGCACGGCCCTCAGGACTCCACGAGCCCCCTGGCCCCAGGCACACCAGTAGCTGTTCCGTCGAATGTTGGGGGAGAGGCCGCCCCAGACAGTCACCCTGGCAGGAGCTGCAGGGTCAGGGCAGGCACAAGGAATGCAGAACGTACAGCGGCCTGGGTTGCTGGGCCTGGGGCAAGAGGCCTTGCACAGCTGAGCACAACCAGGGCAACCGGGGGCCTGACTGTGTAAGAAGGGGGGCTGCGGGGCGCCGGGGTGGCTCAGTCGGTTAAGCGCCCGACTCCTGATTTCAGCTCAGGCCACGATCTCGCGGTTCGTGGGTTCGAGCCCCGCGTCGGGCTCTGTGCTGACGGCTCAGAGCCTGGAGCCTGCTTCGGGTTCTGTGTCTCCCTCTCTCTGACCCTCCCCCACTCACGCTCTGTCTCTCTCTGTCTCAAAAATAAAAACATTAAAAAAAAGGGAATGACATGTCAAAATATATATACATATGTACATATGTAAAAAACAGGGAAGAAAGGGTCACGGCCAGACATCAGAGTCTTGTTACTATTCACCGTCTCTGGACTTGGCCATGCCTGGGCACAGCCGGGGAATGCCCGCGCCCCCTGCCCCCTCGACCCCAATGTCACTCCCGGCCACGAGAACCAAGGTGGACGTTCAGGTGACGGTACGATCAATGGTTCCCGTCACAGGGCTCTCTCGTGAGATCAAAGCTAATGACCGGCGACAGATGTCACGCATAATTAAATTCACTCGACTTAATGTGGCCACGGGACGGAGAAAAGGAAGAGATGGGGGGTGGGGCGGGCAGGGGGGCAGGCCTGAGGGACCCACAGGCCCTGGGGTCAGGGACCTGAGTCTCCGCTCCACTGACCAGCCCCGTGAGCACGAGCAACCTGCGATCTCCGTGCCTCAGTTTCCTCATCTGGAAAACACAGACGAGAAGGTGCCCACCCCTCAGGGCTGCCTCAGTAAGGGTTCTGGGGCTGGAGAGGGGAGCCTAGGGCCCCGGGGGGCTTGTCTGTTCACCCCACCTCCCTCGAGAGGCCGCCTGCTCTGGGACGGCCCCCAAGGGCTGGGCTCAGGGACGCACGCTCTGGAGGTACAGTCCCTGTGGGGAGGCGGAGGCAACAGAGAGCCAGATAATCGTGACCACTGTCTAGGCCACTGGGGGGGCAAGGACGTGCCGGGGGGCCTCGCTGGCTGGCTTGTTCCTGGATTTAGAAATATCTCCCCTTGCTTTGTTGTTTAGACATCCAGCAGATTCCTCAGGCTTCCTACGAACTCCTGTTTCCTTAAGGGGGGGGGGGGGGCGTGGTGAGGAACACGGGCTCCTGGGGCCCCACCCGTAGCAGCCAGACGAGCCCCTGGCCGGGTCACACAGAGGTGGCCCCGGAGAGGCAACAAGCCCCTACTCTGTGACTTCGGCTGCTCTCTCCCCTCCCTGGGCCTCACTTTCTCTCTCTGTAAGGGTCCCCTCAGCCCTGCCACTCCGCTGGGGTGCTCTGTACGCGAACGATCCCTGTCCCTATCGTCCCTCATTCCCACCTTGGGCCGATGAAGACCTGGGCTGCCTATTCCTCCCAGACGCTGGCACGGGGACAGGGCGGGAAGGGAAGGGAAGGGCACAGCGGTAGGAAACGCCTCCCTGAGCAGCTGTGTGACCCTGGGCAAGTCTCTTGACCTCTCTGAGCTTCAGCCTCCTCCATCACAAAGCAGGACGCACGCGGCTGGCCTTGCGGATCCCCTGCAAGTGACGATGGTGTCCGGCCCACAGCGGCAGCTCTGAGCGGCTGGTCTGTCTCGGGCTCCCTCACCAGTGCTCGCTGGTTGGCCATTCACAGGAAATGAGGGGCGTTCGGCCGGGTAACTGCCTTTCCGGGAACGACACTCCCGTCATTAGACAGGTGGGTCCTTCCTCTTTAACAGGATAATATCCTTCGTGATGTTCAGAACCAGCGGGGAATGTGGGCGTTCTCTTGAGCCGCTGTCCAAGTCCCACCCTGCTTCCCCCGAAGAGAAAGCCCGCAGGACGGGTGGGGGTGAAGGTCCAGCGGGCTCAAAAGCCACACGACCAGGGCCCGTAGTCAAGGCGCACACGGTGGCCCAGGGGTCACTGCCCACCGTGGCTTTCAGGGTGGCGTCTCAGGTGTGGCTGGGGGACCAGGGTGTGGCCGCGGCCTCCCCGCCGCTCACAGGCCCAGGACGGGACACGGGGCCACTCACCGGACGCCTTCGTTGAGGCTGAAAAGCTCCTGGTCGGGCAGCCCCTTGCGCTGGAAGACGGCAATGACCCCGTTGTGGATGCTGCAGGTGGAAGAGAGAGGTGTCGTCGGGGCCCCGAGACCCCCTCCCCGCCTTCCCAGGCCTCCCTTCTGCCTTGCCTCCTCCCAGCAGCCCACCCTGCTCTGCTCCCGGGACAGCAAAGGGCCCGGTCAGAAGCAGGTGCTGGCTTTTACAAGGCTGTCCTCCTGGGACCCTGTCCACACCACAGCCTCCGTTCCCATCTCACTCCTGGGGTCGAGCCCTAGCCCCCGCCTCCCCAGAGCCCTGGGCCTGAGTCACCAAGGCACCTCCCAGTCACCTCCCCAGGATGTCTCGTGTAGCCTGCCCACACTCTGCTCCCCTTCCTGTGTTCTCGAACCCTCTATTCCCGGGCACACCCTCTGATCACCAGTCCCACCCTCGGATGCGTCCGAGCCTGGCGCTCACTGTGGGTTTCCCGGTGCCCCCTCCCGGCTCCTGGCATCCCCGAGCACTGGACGCTCACGTTATCTGTCCCGCTGGGGATGGGGAAGCTGCCTCCGGCCCCAGGGCCTTTGTACACGCCCTTTCTGCTGGCTGCTTCTCCTCCACTTCACATTTACCTCCTTTAGATCACGTGTTGTTGCCAGTTTTCACGGCACTTGTCCGTGTGTAACCACATGTTTATGTGTGATTTGATCAACTTGTTGCCACCATCATCTACAAAGCCCTAGAGCCCAGGGTCCTGCGTTGTTCGTGACTCGCCTCTATATACCCAGCACCCGGCTCGAAGGAGAAGCTGGTAAACATCTGGTGAAAATTTATCCTTGACTATCCCTCGTCCTCCAAAGCCAATCTATCCTGAAGTCTGATCCCTTTCTGTCGCCTGGATCTCCGCAGCACCCCTCCCCTCCCTTCAAGCCAGGGCCCCTCCCTGCGTGCCTGGACCTATTACACCGGCCCTGCCTCCCTACTGCCTCAAGTCAGGGAGTCACCTCCCTGACCAGGGTCTTGTGAGGCCTCCACTGTCCTCAAGATACAGCCCAAGGCCTGGACATGGCACTCAAGGCTCGTCAGGAATGCCCCCTCCCTGCATTCCGGGGCATCCGAGACTCAAGTCTCAGAGTTCTGGACCTGCCCGAGGCTGCCACACCTCCGGGTCTCTGCACCCACTGCCCTTTCTCCTGGAAGGCCCTTCGCCCCCCTGCCTATGAGGCAAGCAACCATTCATATTAAAGACCCAGCTCAGAAGCCACTGCCTCCAAGAAGCCCTCCCGCCTTTCCCATGAAGACTCCCGTTCTGCAACCTTCCTGATTCACTTTCCTGTTAGCACTGCCCCCCCGCCCCCTCCACGGGAACTGGGTGTGGGTGGCTCCACCCCCCTCCACCTAGGACCCAGTCACTGTCGTAAAGCTCACAGACCTGCTGCTGTGGTTCTCAGGCCGAGAGGACGGCTGGACCCACACTGCCACTCCCATCACGGATCGGGCAGCAGCCACGAAGCTCCCGATGCCTGTCTGTCTTCGTTAGCTCTACCTGTCCTGGGAATGTGGACTGGCCCCCCGCATCCCAGATGGGGAGACAGAGGCTCATAGAGGCCAAGTCCCCTGCGGGCGGGCACAGAGCTCCCCACCCGATAGCTGCTCCCTCTCTCCATGCAGCCTCCCCACAAAGAGCCGGGTCTGGGCAGGGCTGGGGCGCGAAGGGGCCGCGCCCACCAGGAGTTACCAGCTTCTCAGCAAGTGCTCGCAGAGACGGGGAGGGACACCAGTCACATGACCTGGGATGCCCAACTACCCCAGGCCTGGCGTCGGAATGCCACGTACTCGTGTGTCTGAGACACGTGTCCTCCAACTTCTGTTTCCCGTCTCTGAAAGGGGGTCACGAGTGTGCCTGCCCCCCACCCCCTGGGCTGCCGTGAGGAAGAAATGCCTGGCCAGAGCCTCAGGGCGTGGGTGGGGCCCGGACCGCGCTGGCCTCTGTTAGAAGTCCCCGCTGGCCCCGGCCCTGCCACTGTGTCACCGTAAGGCTGCTCCCCATCTACAACCCAAAGAGATAAAAGCCCGCCAGGAAGCCAGTGGTCCCCCAGCAGCCACGCTGAAGTCCCTACAGCTGCAAGTTCACTTCTGGCCCTGTGGGGGCTGCTGGGGGGCCGGGCCGCCCTCAGGCAGAGGTGACCAAGAACGGAGGCCCCAAGGTGGGAGGAAGCCGGTGCAGGCCGAGCCCTGGGCGGCTCATCGCACAGACCTGCTCCTGGCGGCCTGCCCGTGGCCCTCCTTCTCTTCCGGTCAGCCTTCCGGAGGGACCCCAGCCCAGGGGTGACCCTACACCTGTGTCACATGCATCACCCCCTCCTGCCTCAGGGCCTTTGTCCTTGCCGTCCCGCCCACCCGCCCCCGCAGACCTCACCCCCTCCCCTGGCCCCCGAGTCAGGTCCCTCCTTCCTTCCTCACCCCGCGTTGGAGAAAAAGTTGACCTCGGCCTTCTTTGAGGAGAGGGGAGGTCTTTTGCTTTACTATGTAGCCCTGGTCCCCGACCCCCAGGCCCGCGCTGGGGCTGCAGGGGGAGCCTTGGCCAGCGAGGACCTGTCAGCGAGGGAGTTTATCACCTCCCTTGACTCTCCCAAGGCCTGTATCTGAGCAGCACCCCGCCCAGCCCAGGGGTCGCCCTCGAGCTCTCCCACCCCTCCCCCATCCCGCGAACCCGGGCCACCTGGGCCCCCGGCTTTCCCCATCCACACAGTGGATTCCTAACTGCGACCTGACCTGCCCGTGGGATTCTTCAGCAGTGACTCCGGGGAGGGGAGTGTCCCCCGGACCCACCACCGCTCAGCATCTGCTCTGTGGTTTCTCTCCATCTCTGCCTTCTATAACCACCGCACGGGGTGAGCTGTCACACCCAGGCTACGGAAGGAAACACCGAGGCTCCAACACGCAGCGCGGCACTGGGTGGCTGGGAAACCGCCTCCCGCCCGGCCCCTGCCCACACGGGGACGCACACAGGCAGCGCCCTGCTCCCTCCAGCTGTGGCCTGAGACCCCATCTCTTTGCGCACTCCAAGTCGGGCAAACCAAAAGTCTTGCTGTGAGCCACTCGGGGAGGGGAAGGGTGGGGGGGGCGAGAGGGCCTCACGTGACTTACCGTCTCCCCAAAAATAGAAGTGAAACCCCAGCCACCCCGGTCTGGGGCCTCCGGACCAGGGGTGGGCCGGCCCAGCCTCGGGCCCTGGCAAACGGTCCCAAGGAAACCACAGGTGGCCTCCGAGGGCACTTTCGGGGGAGGCCTGAGTGGAGCTGACCCATGGCCTCCCCTCAGCCGGGCAGTCCCTCACGGAGCGTGTCCCCCTCCCCAGTGCACGAGGACAGGAGGGCAGGGCCAAGTCCCGGCATCTCTTGCCTGGGCACTGGGTGTGTACGGGGTGAAGGGGAGAAGGCGCGAGACCCCCCGGTGAGGCTTCGGGGCGTCCTGGGCAGTGCCGAGACCTGCTGTCACCAGGGCTGGCCTGGACCACACGGCCCAGGAAGAGGGCGGGGCACAGCCAAGCCGGGAGAGGAAAGGCTGGCTGTAGGGCTCCCGGGGGCACTTGCCCGGGGCCACCCTGGCTTGGGCTGGCGCCCGTGTGGGGCTGCAGGCCGAAGGGGCTCCGGTGGCTGGTTCTCTGGCCCACCATCACCTTTCTTAGTGCGGCCCACCTGCCCATACGGGAAGCCCCAGCAGAGAGTGAGTGGATCTGGACCCACCTAAAGCCAGGCTTCTGGTCAGTCAGGCCGATGCACCTCCCTGGTACCCTGGAGGCCGAGCCCTGTCCTTCTCCGGCGCCTACCCTGATTTGGACACCGGAGACCTCAGAGGACACAGAGAGGAGGGCAGGTGCCCCCAGAAGGCCACCCCAGACCCTGAGCGGGGGGGCCACCTCCTTGGGCCCCTCCCAATGGTGTCAGGCCTGGTGCATCTCACCGGCTCCGTGGGAAGGGATGGTCGAGTAAGTGATGAAGGGCAGGTGAGCTGGGCTCCACTGGGTCCCCATGGGGCCCCCAGGCTCCTCCTGCCACCCCCCCGACAGCTGGGCTCTGGTCCTCCCTCTGCCCCGTCCCTCCAAGGGCAACCAGATGGAGCCCCAATGTCCTCGTCAGTACCCCGGAGTCACGCCCAGCCCGGCCTCCTGGCTGTTCTAGCCGCTCTAGGCGCAGTGCCCACGGCCTCCTCCGCACGTCCAGGTAAAAGGCAAAGGAGGCAGGTGACTTGGAATCCAACCCTGCCCCCAGGCCAGGCCCTGAGCGGACCCTCTGGAAAATGGGGGTGATGGTGCCCCTTCCAGCCCTGTGCCAGCTTCCTCTGCCCCTCAGCAAACAGGTGTCGCTCACATCCCAGTTTCAGTCCACCCGGCTGATTCAGATGCTGCTCCCCCCCCCCAACCCCTAACAGGGTTCCTGGCTGAGCAGGAGGGACCCAAGGCCACCTCTGCTCCTCCCTGGGCACCCGGCAAGGGCCCTGACCCACTGGTCCTGACCACAGAGGGGACAGTGGAGTGCCCACGTCCTCGAACACCTGCCTAGACTTCACACCGCCCTTC